GGGTAGATTTTAAGAGAATCGAGTTTGGTGTTACATCAAGCTTCATGAACCTACATCCAGGTTCCAGTTATGCTGGATCTATATCATTATAACCTTTAATTTTAAATTAACTATAAATTTTGTTTTGCATGAAGCAACCCTCGTTAAAGTTTGGCAGTCCGTTAGGAACTTGATGATCTTCACGAATGAAAGGCAATTCTGGCTAAATTTCGTGAAAACTTGGAAAACATCGAAAAATATACTTTGTCGCATTTTGTATTCAATGAACAAAAAGAACTAGCTTTTACTTTCACTGAAAGTATGAATATATACTGATCATTTTTACTGCAAATGTATTCTCATGTTCATTATTCGCCCACTATTACTATGACTGATTCAATCAGACATAGAAAATTAAAAAATAAATAAATATTGTGTTCACTAAGTGAAGTTGAATAGTGATCAGTGATCAATAGCAATAGCAGTGATTAGTGATTAATAACAATTTCAAGAATTATAATGGAAAGATATACGGAGAAATATATAATTAATTTCATTGCAGTGATGCAATTCCATGCAAAGTTGCAAGTTTTTCGGAGGTTTGCTGAATGAAAATATTGCTAATTTTTTAATTATCTTTGCTCGTTGTAGCAGTTATATCGTATATTCCTCAATAACCTGCATTTACTATATTTAAATCTATTATGTTAAAATATGTATAACTTCTTTAGAGATGATTAAATGTATTGTAAATTTCAGTGGATTAATTCATTCTCTACAGTGGATAATTTTATATTTTAGTCTACCGGGTGGTGCATCGTCGTTGGAAACATAGGAAAGCGAATGCAAATTTAAACTGCCCAGATTGGCTCCCCTGTCAATTTTACATAGAACTTGAAAGTAGATTTTTTAAAGGTCTGCGTAGTGTGTATGCTGATTTGCTGAATACACATGCCAAATTTTAACAATTTTGAATAAACCGATTTCAAGTAATTTAAGGAAAACTGCATCGATTTTTAAATTGAAACTGAACCGGTAACAATGCAAAACCAGGCAAATGCCAACGTACCTTAAGTTGTCATCCTATAATTTTGTCAATGTCAAACTGTATTTTCTAAACGTTAGGCTTTTGCCTCATTCTATTGGAGTGCCCAGAGACTTTTACCTCGGAATTCAATTGCTGTGAATGTATTAATGTAAAACCTTCTGTATTGTGTTTTATAGATAAAATACTAAAATGTGTTCCCATTTTTTTTCGTTGCTTTTAATTTTTTATTTTAGTAATTTTAGTAAATTCTTAATTATTTCCTTCTTAATTTTTTGATTTTTTTAATTCTTTTTCTAAGTAAATTTATTGAAGTAAATAAATCTAATGCATAAGCTATACCTATTTTGCTTATATTCTAATCATTGAAATTTTGATTGAAATCGAATTATACAGGGTGGCGCGACATATACGACGCGGTTTATGCAAGGAGAACAAAAGTTTGTATTAAAGTGAATTTTTGTGAGCTTATGTAAGTCAATTTATAGAATTTTCGAAAATTATGTAGAGTTCTACAGGGTGTCCCCAAAAAAAGTTACACATCAAAGTTATGTTTTTTGTAATGGAACACCCTATATATTAATTGATTTTTGGATTCTAGTAAAAAAATAAAGGTTTGTCTGATTAGAAAAGTATATGACTAAAAAAAATGTATAGTTTTTGAAATATATTCACCGGAACGAATAATGGGCACCTTAAAACTTTGATGTATTTTAAAAGTTAATATATTTTGTTTTAATCGGCCGATTTTGATGATTTTTAAGCAGTGTCTAGCCAAATTATTTGGCTTTTTAGTATCTTTTTCTAAATTAAAAATGAAACTCCCCATCTGTTAATTATACTAGGGAAAACAAAATGTTGATATTTTGGTGAAAGTTTGAAAAACTCTGTGGTATATAGTAAAACTGCAAGAAATTTAATAATTATTATATATCATCTAGATACATCCTTTCTCGAATGTTTGTTTTTTTGGTTCATCTCATTAGCTTTATTTTTGTTGGAAATATTCGCTTTTGAGGAAGACACTAACACGTTTTCATAATTTTTACATTACGACCATGCCTTTGCTTTTGGGCCTAGTCAACACATCTAGTTATTTCTGGTCCCGAAGCATAAGATTTGCTTCATTTAATCTTTTTTTTTTTTGGCCAAAAGACCAAAAGACCAGGCCCAAAAGGTAGGACTAGGCCCAAAAGCAAAGGCATGGACCGAAAGACTTATAGAGTGGAGACCAAGAGCCGACAAGCGTAGCCAAGGCAGACCTCCCACCCGATGGACCGACGACCTGAAATGAATAACAACTAACTGGATTGACGTTTGGAGGAGGCCTATGTTCAACTATGGACGTGAAAGGGGACTGCGTGATGATGATGATGATGATGATGAATCTTCTTTTTATAGTCCGTTAGTTAATATGTACGTTTCTTAAGTGCAATTCATTATCAATTTGAAAAGCTGGCAAATATACAATATATACAATAAGTCGATCGTCTCGATTAGAAGTTCTCATACGAAGGTTCCTGGACGTCTAGATTGACGTCCTCATTTTTGTCGCCATAATTCATAAACCACTTAGTGGTATTAAGATATTTTTGGAACCGGAATTTTATAGCAAATTCACTGAACTAAACAAATATAAATATATATTTGACAGTTAAGTGGCAAGAATCCTTATATAATTTTATTATATACCTATACTGCAAGAAATTAGTTTTTCTATTTTATATATTTGACTCACCCTGTATATCTATAAAAATATTTTTAAAATGTGAACTACCACTAAATACATATATTGTAAAAGGTTTGGAGTAAAAATATCAAATAAGAATCCTGATACAGAGCTTTTGCGGAATACGGAGCCATCTTGTATGTATGCATATGTATATTATGTGTGTTTATTTAAATACTAAAGTGAAAGCAACGAATTTAAATGGGTAAACTTTGTAATATATTTTATCAAAAATACAATGCAAAAAGTTTTATAAAAATTCGTTCACAGTAAATGAATTCCGAGGTTTGTATCCCATAAGGGCTTAAAGCACTCCACTATTCGAACCAGTTTTAAATTACAAATATACATTTCAGGGACAATAACCGTAGGTACTATAAAGAACGTAGTAGTGTAGAGAGCATAACAAAATTATATTTGACAATGATAAAATCATAGGTTGACAACTTAAGGTATGTTGACATTTAACTGGTTTTCCATTGTTACCTGTTCAGGTTTAATTAAAAGAAATATGCAATTTTTCTTAAATTACTTAAAATCGGTTTGTTCAAAATTGTTCAAATTTGGCATGTGTATTCAGCATAGGTAGACCTTAGAACATTAACGGATCCTAGAACGTTAACGTATCATCTTAAAAAGTTATTGTAAGGTATGGATATAGAGAATAACAAAAATAATAAACTAAAATTGAATATATAAGAGTTTGACGTCAATTATTATATTAGAAAGATATTAAGCTCATTTCAATTTTGAGCACAATTGAGCGTAATTGTTTACAAGAAGTTAATGCCTTTCCCAGTAATCTTATATGTTGTTTTCATAGTTTGCATAGTTTCTACACCTTCCGGGAATTTCAAGGGTACGAGGTTCAATGTTAAGAGATATTGAGTCAGTGCACCTCACCCCATTACCATTATCTTTCATTTAGTAATCAAATACTGGTAAATAGCGATCGTTGACACCCGAAACATTTTGTTTGTACATAGGTCAAACATAACTACATCATTTTAAGAAACAGCTAAGATACTGTTTTTGTTCCAATATTATCGTTTTTAAATATTTTTTTTATTAATTTTGATTAAAAAAAAAATGATTGAATATACACTGTCCGGCACGAAAAATGGATACTTTTAAATTTTTATGTAGTTTTAGTTTTAATATACAGGATGTCCCAATATTCCATGGACATAGAACTACTACCTATTTTTGGAATCAAAATAAGTTCATTGGACATAATTTACCTTTATAGAAAAGTTCTTCGTTTGTCCGTTTAGAGGGCACCAAACTTCCAAAAAATAAACACATTTTTTAAGATATTTTAAAAGCCGTTATTTCGATTTGAATGAGATTTGGGGTGCCTATGTTTTGGTAAGTGCTTTATCATTTGCCATTCACAAAAATCAGGAAAAATTACGGAAAGAGTGTAAACTGTTCCCACTCCAACATAAATTTTAGTATAAATATTTTCCAACCCCACCAACGGCCGATTTTTTTGTCGTAAAATGGTCCTTCTAGTATTTACTAAATTCTTTGTCTCCTGTAAAAAAATGCCACTGCGTATACTTTTTGAGGAAAAAAATATTTTTCCGAAAATGTTTAATGTCACGTCAAGCTATGTAGGTGCATAAAATCTATTATGCGTTAATAATCTAGTTGGTGAAAATATGACATTTTATGTTAGTATCACAAATGATATTTGACAATAAGCTTCATAAAATGCTTAAAAAATAAATGACTTTTAAATTAATTAACAATCGGGTTTATTTTTGATTTGATGCTCTCTAACGGACAAACGAAGCACTTTTGTATAGAGGTAAATTGTGTGCAATTAACTTATTTTGATTCAAGAAATACACAGTTGTTCTATGTTTACGGAATATTGGAACTCCCTGTATATTTTTTATGTCTGTTTTGGAAAAAAAATTCTCCAGAAATGTTTTTCTCTAAAACTATGCGATGTAGTACAATATAGTAAAAATGTAGTAATATAGTTTGTAAAGTAGTAAATATTAATTAAAGGAGAATAGGAGAACCATTTTACGAAACAAAAATTAGTCCTCCGTGGAGTTTGAAAATGTTTCTACTAAAATTTATGTACGGGTGGAGGTGGTTTTCACCCTTCCCGTACTTTTTCTGGGTCCCCAAAACCTATAAACCTGCAAAATTTCAAAACTTCCGGACATTTTTCCAAGCAAAAATCCCCAATGACTGAACTATTATTGTTTTTCAAATATCTGTCATAGAAAAGTCATATTATTACTGTTTGTTGGCGCTTACTTTATCAGAGATGGTTTTCAGTCCAGAAGTTCAGCTATTGTTGTTTTAATTGAACTTGGTAGAGAACATCAAGTTATAGATCTAATTTTTAGAAGAGGAAACAACGAATTAATTAAAAACAACTATGTTTGGGTTCGGATAAGAATAATGATGTAAAAGTGTAAGTAAATTTTTAAAAATAGAATTAAATTCGCCAAGTTTGTGCAGACATGATAATAATAACGACAACCGAAGAGCTGCGAGCTACAATGTCAAGGATTTGTTATTGGTACGATAAAATTTTTCCACAAATCGGTTATTATATGCGCGAAATGTTAGATTATCGATAATTAAGCTAATAAAAACCCTTTTAATTTGAAATATATTGTGATAAATGATACATAAAAATCAGTCATTAGGGTAACAGTTACCAGAAATTAGTAAATTATTTTTCTGCGTTTCTGTCTATTTTAGTAAATGAACTCATAATTTTTGAGACAAAATTAAATGAAGTAGCATCTGAAAGGATTGTAAACAGTTTTTTTTATCTGGCAACACGTATTGTTTATAATAATTTCTAATAAATATTAATTATTGTAATTTATGAATCTGAATTATTAAACACTTTAAATTCAACTATTTAATGTTTCTTATATGTTGAAATTATATGTATAGACATACTTTTGAAACATCCTGTATAAATTAATCTTATTTACATTACTTGCTGTACAATTATTGTACAGATATTTTTTCTTTCTCTAAAATCTTATTTGCTTTATTAAAAACTATTTCTTAATTTTTTTTTAAAGATCTTCTAGGCAGACACTGCAATCCAGTAAAAAAACTATCAAAAAATACAAGTCTTGGACTAAGACCAATACGAAGACTCGACCCTGCAAGACCAAGACAAAAATACTTATTAGATTAGATGTTTCCCTAACTAAATTTTAAACTACGACCTTGTATGATTTTTTATTTATTGGAAAAAGCAGGCACAAAGTGCTAAATTGTAAAGTTGTTATTGTGTCTACTAAGAAAACACAAACTCTACTACATTTAAAAAATAAAAATATCATTAAAATGAAATATTTAAGGTTCAGTAGAGAGATATTTTTAGATTTTTTAGTAAGAATAATTTTATTATTTTTTACACTGAATTTTGAGTAGAATAAAATTATTATTTCAAACGTAGTTATTATCGTTGTTTTTGATTTATATTATTTACAAAAAGCGATATGACATTTTAGATACTGGATATCAAAATGTTTTTTGGATATTCAATGACTAAAAATCACAAACACAAATAAGCAAACAAACCTAACAAAGAATCAATTGTTATTATTAATGTTTTGCATAATTTTTGGTATTTTTATCAGGGATGACCATTAGTAATGGATAATTTCCACAAAATATTATCATGAAAATATCAACATTTTCTTTTTGTATTCCCTATGTTTATTGGAGACTTTTAAGACAAATAAAATGTACAATTTAAAAAAAAAGTTGGGGGATTACCTCTTTAAGGAGTCATAAACTTGACCATATCAAAACAAATTTTGTATTTACTTATTGTTTTTTTTATTTAATATTTCTTTTTATTGTTTAATATTACCTTTGGAAAAACAAAATCACAGTTAGATTTTTTTTTCTTTAGGCTTATCATAATCTATAAGTTGTTATTTGTTCTTTTATTTGATCAATATTAAATTAGAAATAACACGGATCTCCTAAATCGACTGAAATTGTTTTGTAAAGTTCAACAATATTTCACGTACATTCTTCTTCTGATAAAGTGTCAGTGGCTCTAAGTGCATTACCACTTATCGCAATTTAATATAAAGTTGTAAATATATTTTTGTCTACTACCAAATTATTTCACCGATTATTTGGACCAGTGTATCGACCTTGGCGACATTTAAATGATAAAAATATGGCTCAGTCCAAAATGAGGCCACCTACATTTTGCAAAATACAATGTCTTTTTATCTGAATGAGATTTAAAAAAGTCAAAGTTGAGATTGAAATGTTCGTTGGAATGATATTATTTAAAACAAAGAAAGATCATTAAATTAGGTGTGAATTTCAATTATTTGCCTACACACGATAGTCTAGTGTTCCTAAAAATATTAAAAAATAAATAGTCAATCAACGGAAATTGAAGATTTTATTCATGGTTCTTTATTAGTAGAGAAAAGATTTGAACTAATGCAGTTTTTTTCATTATAACTCGTGATTAAAACGTCTATAAAGTTCTGATATATTTATCCTGATATATTTATTATTGCTTCTAAATAGGGTTTCCAATTTTCAGGATCGGGATCCCGTTTTGAAATCCCGGGATTAGAATCTGTAATCACGGGTATGGGATCCCGAGATTGACTATCAGAATGAGAAATTTAATCTAAAGAAATACTTAATAAAAATGCAGCTATATATATCAAAATAAAAAGGAGAATAGAGGTTTATTAAAAGAGAAAAAACAAAATAAACATTCATATTTAGTAAGTAAAAAAAAATCAACTCTTATTCCAAAAAAAAATTAAATATAGTAAACACGGAAATATAAATGTTAAATATTGAGGTTCTACTTAGTATAAATAAAATATGATCTTTGAAAGACTAAAGTGTATAAAGTTGAATCATTTTAGATTCGGCATATAAATTTTTCGAGATTTTCGGGATGCCGGGATTTAATACAGATATTTCGGAGATAAAAATACACCGGGATCCCGGTTTAGAATCCCTACTTCTAAATAATCTCTTTAGGTAAGGTGACATGGACTGTCCCTTCTTTTGTTCTACTGTCCTGTATTGTTATTGTTGGTGTCCTGTATTACGGTGGTAATAAATTATTGATGTTATTTTTTCTATTTACTAGACATAAGATTTTGGAAAATGAAAAAATTAGTAATTTTGCATGGCTCGTATTTTTTTGCCTGTGGATCTATTTTTTTCTTCAGCACCGAAGGTCACGATTTGACCAGCCTGATGCATAATAAACACTTGCTCATTTTATACCTTGTAACTGTAATGTCTATGTAAGAAATCACGTACATTATTGACTTTAGAATATATATTAAATTAATGAAGAGATATTAAATAGACACTGAGAGATGGTGTAGGACTGTCGGGCTGAGTATCAACTCAGACAAAACCGCGATAGTGCCATTCACCAGAAAGCGAAGTCTGAAAAACTTGAAAAGAATCCAACTAGATGGAAAGGAAATACTGCCAACACAGGAAGTTAAATATCTGGGAATAACCCTGGACAGTAAACTCCTGTGGAACAGGCATATTAAGAACACTACCAGCAAAGCCACAAAGGCTCTCATGATATGCAGAAGACTGGCCGGAAATAGATGGGGCTGCTCCCCTAACATTTTGCGCTGGATGTATACCATGATAGTAAGACCCATGATTACTTATGGAGCAGTTGCCTGGTACACAAAACTAGAGCAACGGACGGCAAGGCTAAACCTGTGCAAAGTCCAGAGACTAGCATGCGTTTGCATCACAGGAGCCATGAGAACCTGTCCAACAGCAGCAATGGAGGTCATTCTAGATCTAACACCACTGCACATTGTCATTGGTAGATATGCCAATACGACAATGATTAGAATGGTTACTAACGGAATTAGTACTGGGAGAATTGTCAGATCAGGGGCTTGGAACACTCTCAAAAAGGAAATACCACTGCTGCAACTCCCAGTGGACGATATGCCAAGAACGTTTGTTATGCGAACACATTTGAGAAACATCTCAATGTAGTTTTGAGCAATAAAAAGGATTGGAAGAGCGAAACGCTTGCCAAGCAGTTAAAAGACCATACCATAACTTGGTATACTGATGCTTCCAAAACCAATACGGGAACAGGGATCGGAGTATTTGGGTCGAGAGTTAAATACTCCGAACCAATGGGCACTTACCCTAGTATCCTACAGGCAGAAATCTACGCTATCGAAAGATGCGTACAACTTATCTTAGATAGGAACTATCGGAAACAAGAAATAGCCATCTTGTCTGGTAGTCAAGCAGCGTTAAAAGCGATCAACTCAGTATCAATCAATTCGAAATTGGTCAAAGAATGCATAGAGAAGCTGAATAAATTAGGCAAAGAAAACAAAATCCTCCTACTCTAGGTGCCTGCACACCAAGGGATAGAAGGCAATGAAAAAGCAAATAATCTAGCTAGAAAAGGAGCGAACACTCCACTAACTGGACCAGAACCGTTCTGCTTTCCTAGTGGTGACCAACTCAAGGCGGAACTCAAGAACTTGGAAGATTCCATCCGCAACCTGGAATGGAAATCTTGCAACGGTCTAAGACATTCGAAGAAGTTTCTGAGGGCTTATGATTAAGAAAAATCACAGATCTTCCTGGGTTTAAGTAAGAACAATCTTCGGATTGTCACGGGGTTTTTAACAGGACACTGTCTCCTCAATGAACACCTCAGTAGATTGAAACTAAGAAGAAACGGCGAATGCAGATTCTGTGGGGAGGATGGGGAAACACCAGTACACCTCATCACTGAGTGCGCCGAGACGACAACCATTCGTGCCATGAATTTTGGTACGACTGATATTGGAGATGGGGAACTACCCTCTATAAAACCGTCTCAGATACTGGCTTTTGTCAAAGCCCTGGGACTGTATGATGAGTTATAACTCTAGAAAGGGGGACACAATAGATCTGTAAGGTCGCAGTGATTAACCCCCCTCCCACTCATTCTAAATTCTAAATTCTATTAAATAGACGTCATAATTTTTTCTGTCCTTATTTGAAAAGATATAATGATCCAAAGTTAACATAGCCATCGCTACTTTATCTGTTTTACAAGTTGATGTTATTACATTTTATTTTATTACTCATGCGGGGAAAGTAGTACCCTTTCGCATTCTTTTGGAGTCGAAAAGACGCTAATTGCCCACTTCACAATTACCACACTAGTTTTGAGCAAATTTAATGTCGATTTGAGTGCGACAAGTAAACTTCTCGCACCCAAATTTTCATTGGCACACGTAAATTGACAAGCAAAAAAGACAGTCTCGAAGTGTCAATATTAAAGAAGTGAGGTTGACATTTAAATATTTTTTTATTTTTTGTTTATTTTATTACGTTGCTTTTTAATATGTTTCTTTTATTATATTTCATCATGTAAACAAATTATTAAACACCATTATGAAGAAGCAACGTTAAAATTCCTTCATTTTCTACTCTAAAATTCGATTTAAAATTTGAAATTTTGAATGTCATCTTTTGCATTTATCTATGGGGTGTTCCAATAGTTGTTTTTCTTGTCACGAGATTTTTAAAGTATTTTTTGCTTTTTAATAAGTCTCTTTTGTTTACATGATGAAATGTAACAAAAGACACATGCTAAAAAGCAACGTAATAAAAAATAGTATGTGCAACTCGTGCGAAGTTGTCGATTATTGATATATTACATATATCACTTGCCCTTTTAAGTAATCAACCAGAGAATATAAAATATTTACAGCCAAATTTTCATACAGTTATTTAAGTAAACTAGTAAGCTGTTGGCGAATAGTTGTTTAGAGCTTTTTATTGTTCAGACTAGTTACTAATAGGGAAGGTACTAATAATATTACTAATAATGAGGTACTAACACTATACAAATTTAATTACAAGTATCAGTACAGATGCTCACGAATATAAAAATGTTAACCAATAAATTAAATAGATTCATTATTCTTGCAGCACAAAAACGATAAATAAACGGAACATTAGAACGATATAATACTGTTAGTAGTTAGTAGACCGTATGATCGAAAAAAACGGCGTCAAAGACGGCTGGGAATGACACCTGATGATAATTTTAGCTAGGTCATTCCCTATACGTCATTTACTAAAAATTGACATAGAACTTGTTAGAACTTAACACTAACTATAGAAAAAGAAGTACGTTATCAGACACACAAATGTATTTCTAAAAAAATATTTTTTCTCGAATTTTAAACTACACCATTTAAATATCATTTTTACTCAAATAAAAACAAATTACAACCTTCTTAAGGCCAACTGACAGTAAGCGCCATTAAGAAATAAAGAAGCGTACAAGCCAAATAAATGACGTCTAGGGCCGAGTATAAGGCTTAACCTCGCCAAAATTATTATCGATTTTCATTCCCCAGCTCCCTTTGGCGCTATTTTTTTTCATTGTATGGTATATTTTTGCTGATTTTATATTACATCTATATTTTTGTGTGTGTTTTTCATCATCAATTAATAAATTTACGGAATATTTACGTTTACTAGCAATAAAATTTATAGATTTAGTAAAAAGCTCCCCATTTTCATCATTGATATCGTTATTTTTGAGTTCAAAATTTATGAATGTTAAATAATAAAAATTTTTCCTTAAATTTTTGATTAACTTTTGTGTATTTTGCATTTTGCACTAATATTAAGTGTAATTTTTCTTTTTTTTTTCAGATGTGCTTATACATCTTCCTAACAATATTTTTATTGATCATTACACACATTATATGGAAAGTGAGAAATCTACCTCCAGGTCCATGGGGTTTACCCATAGTCGGATATCTCCCATGGTTAAATCCCAAAGCACCACATTTAACTTTAACGGATTTAAGCAAGAAATATGGCTCCATTTACAGTTTATCTCTGGGCAACGTTACAACAGTTGTACTAACTGATCCTAAACAGATCAAAACGCTATTCACGAAAGACGCCACCATTGGGAGAGCCCCCCTTTACGTCACTCATGGTATTATGCACGGATATGGTAAGTTTAATTCAATTAATGGTATATATTCAATTAATGGTATATATATATAATGGATCTTTTTATAGCAATAGAATGATAGAGTCTCACTTTATATAAAGATAGAAAACAAATTTCTTGCAGTATAGGTATATAATAAAATTATATAAGGATTCTTGCCACTTAAGTGCTGATATAGAAATTTAATTATATGCTGTGTTTGTCATAATGTGGATCAACCTGCTCTCACTAGATATTAAGTCCGGAATAATATCTAACCGATACTTTCTGACAAGTCGGAATTAACTATCACTGCTCTGTGGTTGTCATTTTGTGGATCTGCCCAGGCTCACCTGATGATGGAGTAGGGCTCCGAAACCGGTAGTGAGAGCAGGTTGATCCACATTATAACAAACACAGCATATAATTAAATTTCTATATCAGCAGTTAAGTGGCAAGAATCCTTATATAATTTTTATATAAAGTTTATAAACATTAAGATAAGCCGAATATTGACATGTAAGTAATAGGGAATATTCACCAAAGCAGTCAATTCAAATTTCTCTTAAACATATTTCACTTAAATCTCCTGCTGTATCTGGCGCGTCAAGATAGTCTGATGGCAGATATCACGAGCGCTATTAATCTAAGTATACGAGAGAGAATGTAAGCACCTAGTTTATTGATTTGATTTAGATGCTTTGATATGAAAACGACAGGATTGTATTTAAATGAAACTTTAAATTAAACGTTTATTTATCTAATACGTATGTTAATAAGGAAGGCTTGCGGGAACAGTTTTGTATCAGATAAGACTGCACGAGGAAACCTATAGAATTCAGTTTTTTCGGAATAATTAAATCATTGGCAGCTCTGTTGGGTTAGAGGTAAAGCACCCGAGTGCAGGGTAGAATGTAGAATGTTTAGGAGGGTGTTTAATCACTGCAAGCTTACAGATCTATTGTGTGTTTCCCTTTCTTGAGTTATAGAGGGTTATAACTCATCATAAAATCTCAGGGCTTTGACAAAAGCCAGCATCTGAGACGGCTCCACAGAGGCCAACTCTCCATCTTCGACATCAGCCGTACCACAGTTTATGGCACGAACGGTTGTCGTTTCGGCGCATTCACTGATAATGTGTTCTGGTGTTTCCCCATTTTCTCCACAGAATCTGAATTCGCCGTTGTTTCTCAGCTTCATTCTACTGAGGTGTTCGTTGAGGAGACAGTGTTCTGTTAGAAACCCCGTGACAGTCCGAAGATTGTTCTTACTCAAATCAAGGAAAATCTTTGATTTTTCTCGGTCGTAAGTTCTAAGGAGCCTGAGTGTCTTAGACCGTTGGAGGATTCCCATTTCAGGTTACGGATGGAGTCCTTCAGGTTCTCCAGTTCTGCTTTAAGCTGGTTTCCGCTTGGAAAGCAGAACGGTTATAGTCCAATTAGTGGAGTTAGTTAGTCCATTTGCTCCTTTTCTAGCTAGATTGATTGCTTTTTCATTGATTTCTATCCTTTGGTGAGCGGGCACCCAGAGTAGGAGGACTTTATTTTCTTTGCCTAATTTGTTTAGCTTCTCTAGGCAATCTTTGGAAGGATGCTGGGGTAGGTACCCATTTTTGTTGGTTTGGTTTGGTTGGGTTTGTACAAATACTCCTATCGCTGTTCCTGCTTTGGTTTTCGAAGCATCAGTATATCACGTTTATGGCATGGTCTTTCACCTGCTGAGCAAACATTTCCTTTTTCAAATCTTTTTTATTGCTGAATACTACAGTGAGGTGTTTCTCAAAGTTGTAAATTCTTGGTATGACATCTACTGGGAGTTGGAGAAGTTACATTTTCCTTTCTGGATGTTGCTTTAATGACTGTATGCACACCATTATAAACATAGGTTCTGGAGTTTTAGACGGGTATTAGTTAACAGAAGTGATAAGCGTAGTTATCTCAATCCAGTCTACATTCAAGTTTAAATTTAGCGCCCTTGAAATGTGCAGATTCGCTACATATCTGCTAATGTGCGATCTCCTTTATAAATTGTATCGATTTAATTGGTTATTATTAATACTATAAAGGTGACCTATAAGGTACTACCCGGTGGTGTAGAGGTACAGGCTCTCGTCTACCAATCTCAAGGTGTGGGTTCGATTCCCACACCCGGCATTTCATCAGCCGTCTATTTTTATTAAAATAAAAATAATCTGGGTACCTAGATCGACTCAGCCTTAAATGAGTTTCTTGGGATTCACAATAATCCTGAGGTAATAATAGGCGGTTGAAGCGTAGTGCTAGCCACATTACCTTCCTTGTATACCGAACGGCTCTGGTATAGCAAGCTGTACCTTGCTACTCCCAAGGCGTTAAACGCTATATACGGGAGCTAGTATTATTATTATTATTATTAATACTGAAATATTTAATTTTATTAATAATTAATAACTCGTATGTCGTCTCGTGTTTTAAACTCAATACAAACATCCAATACTTTTCATTTGGTATTTTTTTCATATAATATTTTCTTAATTAAAAAAAATAAAAAATTAATAAAAAATAAATTTAATATTTTCTTCTCGTCTGGTCTCGTCTTTATTATTCCTAGATTTACAATTCCCTGCACTGAATAGAGCCTTAAATGAACGAGAGATTCTCGGATATGCAGAATACTGATAGTTCCTTCAATTCGCTATAATTATAATAATACATTTACTGCAAGCCATGAAGAAGACATCGGTAGGATATATCAAGATTAATTACTACCTAAAAATTACCCCGAACTTATAAAACTTAAATAATCTTTTAATGAACTTTCCAGACAGATTTGATGAAAATTATTTTTTGATTTCATAATGTTATAATAACATATTAATTAAAAATATTTTTAACGATTTTAATTTGGAAATTTAAACAGTGAAGTCCGGTGAACAGTTAGAATGGAAAGTTATTACAGTAGCAGTTCGTCAGGTCCAAGTTGAATATCTGATCTGACCCGGCCCTGTACAGGAACCAAGGAATCAAAGAACCACGGCTCGCACGCGAGGTACGTACGCAAAAAAGCGTGGCACTAGTGACCGATATAAGCTCTCCTCTTGAATGTGTGTCTCGTATTTCGCGGCGTGCGTACAGTTCGGGTCACCACAGATAAAGAGAAGTCCTAGTAGAAATTTGCCCATTAGCATATCGGCTATGGGTTTTTCGACCTTTCACCCCTTCTTTTTTTTTGGCTTTGTTGGTGACGGTGACACCGACAGGGCGACAGAGGTGGGCATTGACCTTTGCGTACGAATTTCGACATTGTTTCGGTGAAACTTCCGAATTCGTTTGGAACCACCAAAATGAACGTTAAACTACATTTCTTTCTCTTGTATTTTCTGTTACGTATAAGAAGCTATATTTTTTAGTGGCTGGAAAAATTAATAGAAAAAATGTAATATTTGTAATATAATTAGTCATTCACAACTTGACATTAATGGTTTGTTTCTCTAATTTCAATGAAAGGCATTCAGAATGATAAAATTAGTGGTAGTTATTTTAAAGCTTCGTTCAAAACCTCGCAATTAGTGAAATAAATTAGTAGTTTCAATTACACTTATAATTATACTTTTTAGTTTACGATCATTCACAATGTTTAAAAAACACAATTAAAATTAATAGAATATCGTAGGAACAGTTTGTGTTAGTTATTTGTATCCATAGAGAAAGCTTAATATTTAGCTTATAAAATAACCAACTTTTGATTTCTAACCACAATTTCTCTTGATGGAAGATAATCAAAGGCAAAAATGACATTTCTCGCAAATTTTTAAATATAATTAGTGGAACAGTTAAAATTTTGATAACTTGTTCTACTAACTGAAAATGTCTACCACTAATTTGGCCGTTCTGAATGCCTTACATTGAAATTAAAGGAACAAACTTCTACGCTAATTGAAACCACTAATTTGTTCCAGTAATTGCGAGGTTCTGAATTAAGCTTTAATTAGTAGAAAAAGTTAACAAACTTCTAACTTTTGCCACTAATTATATCTCAAAATTTGCGAGTAATGTCATTTTGGCCTGAAATGAAACGTTTATTGTTTTATAAGCTAATTATTAGGCTTTTTCTATGGATAAAACTGCCTACCGCAAGCTGTTGCTAGGATAATCTATTAATTTTGAATGAAGTTTAAGCTAAAATATTGCAGTGGTATAAACTGTTTTCTATTTATCAATATGTATTACGATGGATTAAGAGTAATAGAATAACTGCAAATCGATAAATAATTAATGACACATTAAATTAATTACATAAAGCTTGTTAACATATTATAAATTGTTATAAATTGATTTTTAACTCACAAAAATTATCATTAATTAATACACTGCACCTCAGTCCATCACGGATGAATGATTTGCTCTAGTATATTAACTCACTCGTTTTGCAATTTATATTAGACATTTGCTTTGTTGAAACTATACATTTTGATGAATGGTTTGCAGACAATATGAAGCTGTTGCTTGAATGAACAGACAAAAAAACCTTGAAGGAACAACTTTATACCTTCAAGCAAGGATGAAACAGAAAAAATACACTTTCCCGACTTACAGTTTATACATATTCTGTCAGGTAGCGCCACTGGAATGTTCCGAGACTTCTTAATACATTCTGTGGTACGGATGACAGAATGACTGAATGTTCTGGAATGATAGAGAACAATGGTTTTGACAGTTGTCCTCATTTATGATCTCCATTTTTGTGTACAGGGTGGGTTAAATTCGACGCTTTTAAATGAAAACACCCTTTTCTATAGGAGATAGACAAAACTAATATCGGTGTCTGGAGCTCAATTTGCGTCAAAAACAGGACGGTGAAAACCTCATATCGATATCTGTTACCGTTTCGGAGTTACGGTTTTTTTTTAAAATATGCATTTTTACCAAATAGCTGTAACTTTTTTGCTATGGAAAATTTTGTATTTTTATGAAAACATTTCCAAAGCATCTTTTTACGTAGAATTTAATGGTTTAAGTATATTTTTTTTAAATTAATAATTT